AAAAAAAAAAAAAAAAAGGTTGGACACCCCTGCTCTAGGGTCTAGGACTGGAGCTCTGGATCTGACCGGGAGCAAAGAGGAGGCATGCAAATCCGGACACGACCACGAGGAGGCAGTAGAGACCCATCCTCAACTCTAAGTAGCTGCCTTTGGCAGGGAAGGGACTAACCCAAGTTGTGTGGGCTCAGGCATGGCCATGTCTGGTTCAGTGCAGGAATACAGGCAGAGGCAAGCCCTGGGTCCGCATCATGGTTCTGCCCTCACTCAGACTGCCTTGTACATGTAGGTTCTTGCCTTGGAGCCTCTTTCCCCACCTCTGAATGAGTGGAAAGCCACCCACAGGCCCCTGTGAGTGAGGATGCCCTTGGTAAACACAGGTGATCACACCCTGGGCAGGCTCTGCCCCACGAGGGCTCCGTCCCGCTGTTCCCAGCGTGTCCTCACCAACTGCCCAGGCAAGAGCAAAGCCCACAGGGAGGACCTGTGACCATAGGCAAGGACCACGGACCCCAGCCCCAGGGATTTTGACCTCAAGAAAGGAAACATCCAGAATTTACCCTCCATCTGGTGACCCAGCTGCATCTGGGGTGGGTTTGCTCTCTGCTGGGACCACGAGGTTATCTCAGACCACCAAGAAATGGCACTAGCACAGGTGAAAATCATGGGCAAACTTTATTGGCATAAATCACAGGAATTGAAATGGGAAAAGCCAGGTTAGAAGTTTACAGAGAAAAAATAAAATCAAAATCAAATTTTCAAATAACCATTGACTCAGAGAGTAGACCCCAGAAACCCCAGTCCCTCTTGGGGAGAGTCTGGGGGAGTCACTGTAAACAGAGCGGTAAGGCCTGTGGGTGGAAGTGGAGACATCAGACCTTTGGAGGGGCCAGGCTGACCTTCCCCCACAAACAAAGGAGGGACCCTCTTCGGAGACCCCAGCACACTCGGCTTCTGCCAGGAGGCCAGTGGAGTGGTTTGGACTCTCACCATTAGATCCCAGTGGGGCCCCTTTCTCTTGATCAGGAGCCCAAGGCCTGGCTCCTCTTTCATCCTCGGTAAAGAGCTCTGGGGCTTTCCCCAGAGGAGCCTGTCCCTCTGTCCCAAATCCTATCATGCTCCCTTATGACCTTCTTTCCAGACCCCCTGAGTGCCGATCCCACCTGTGAAAGGGGAGGAGCAGACGAAGGGATATGCCCAGAGGAAATCAACAAGACCAAAGAGACGTCAGAGTCCTGATGGCCAAAATCAGACACCAGCTTTCCTGAGAAGGCAGAAGAGAGAGCCCCACAGAAGCGGTGGGGGCTCAGAAGGTTCAGTGGGTTCACAGGGGAGCAGAGGCTCCTGAGGGCTTACTCATACAGGAAGCAGCCCCCCAAAACATACTTTCCCCTTCTCCTCCCGCAGAAACAGAACAGATGAGGTTCAGAATTCTAGGCCCAAAAGGGTACGACACCCTTCAACCAGTTTCAGTGAAGAGCTTGCTGGCCTGGGAAGTAAAGAAGGGGTTTCCAAATACAGCAGTTTATAAAACAGTCCTGGTGAGCTATGAAGTGAAAGAGGGGGAGTCACAGAGCTGCTCCCAGTTCACCTGCTTGTGCTAAGAAAAAATAAAATACAAATTGCTTCCCCACCCCGACCCTCAGTACAAAGCAAACTCCACACCAGGGCCATCATCAGCGACAGGCCCAGTGGCGGTGGACAAAGAAGAGAATACAAAAGGGAACGTCTTTAAAATCTCTTCAAAATCATTTTGTATAGAGAAGTAAAAGCAACTCAGGCGATATGAATTCAAACCTCAGTGTAGAAATCTATCAAAGTCAGTACAGTGTCCAGGCACGCCGTCCCGGAGACGGAGGAAGTGACTAGAAAACATTATTGCTGGAGAGGCTTTTCTCAGTAGAACCAGAGCAGGTATAAAAGGGGAGGGCGGGTAAAGGCAGGGGCAGTCACCAGGCCTAGGGCACTGGAAGGGTAGGAGGAGCACAGAGAACCTTCCATGGGCCCTTGGGTTCTCTGCCTTTGGATGGATGGATTTATGCTGGCATTGTCTGGAGGGAGCCGGGTGTCCCCCAATAATCACAGAACGAAGACAATTAGGTCAGGGGGGAAATAAGGGTAAAAAGAGACCCCAACAGACCCTGCCTGCCCTTCCCTGCCCTCCGGCTGCACTGTGGAAATATGAGGAAGAGATGGCTCCAGTGTGGGGTGCTGGCCAGGCCAGTTCATGGGGACGTACGTGGGCTGGGGTGGGGCCCCCAGCCTCTACCCCTGGAAAGGATGGAGTGGGCAGCCTGGGGAGAGCTGCAGGAGGGAGGAGGGGGCCCAGAGGCTCCGGCAGGGGTGAAGACAATCAGGGGGACCCCTCACAGCCCTGTCCCTCCTGCACCAGCCGAGAACGAGGGTTCCAGTTTACCCCTTCACCCCCGGGCGAAGTCTCTGGGTCACAGTAGCAGTTGGGGATGCTGGCTGGGGAAGGGGGGCAGAGACAGGGGCAGGGCGCCTAGCAGAAGAGCTTGAGGAAGCAGTTCTGACAGTAAGGCTTGTCGTTCTGCTCCTTGAAGGTGCCCTTGTTGAGCTGCTTGAGGCAGAAGGCACAGACGAAGTGCTCGGGGTGGAACTTCTTGGCCATGGCGGTGATGCAGCGGCCAGTGATGGGCTTCTGGCAGCCGGAGCACAGCGAGCCGCGCCGCTCGTGGTAGTGCACCTCACAGTAGGGCTGCCCGTCGTGCTCGAAGAAGCTGCCGTTGACGAATGGCGTGAAGCATTCCTGCCAGGTGGAGAGAGGGGCTCAGGGGGCTGTCCCTCGGGCTAGAGCAGCACCCAGTATGATGGGGCCCAGATGGGCATGGTCGGCACACTTGGAGTGACTCCTACTTGCTAGGCATTTACTATGTGCCATGCTGTCCTAAACACTTATTTTTTATTTTTATTTAAAAAAATTTTTTTGTAGAAATGGGGGTCTCACTATATTGCCCATGCTGGTCAAACGCGGCCTCCAGCAATCCTCCCACCTCGCCTCCCGCAGTGCTGGGATTCTTTAATTCTTCCAACAAGGGAAGCAACTGAAGCACACAGGTGAAGTGACTTGCCCAGGGTCATGCAGCTACTGAGTTCACAGCCTGGATTCACACACAGGTCTGACTCCTGAGCACTTAGCCAGGTGGCTGCAACAGTGTTCCCAGAAACACAGGTGTGACACTGGTGTGTGGTTAAACTCTGCATCCTAGATTCTCATTGGAGGTTCACATCACATATAGGTAGAAAAGGCTCTGAGAGGGGCTGGGCGTGGTGGCTCACACCTGTAATCCCAGCACTTTGGGAGGCCAAGTTGGGGGGGCGGATCACCTGAGGTCAGGAGTTCAAGACCAGTCTGGCCAACATGGTGAAACCCCATCTCTACTAAAAATACAAAAAATTAGCCAGGCATGGTGGTGCATGCCTGTAATCCCAGCCAATTGGGAGGCTGAGGTGGGAGAATCACTGGAACCCAGAAGGCGGAGGTTGCAGTGAGCCAAGATCGTGCCACTGCACTCCAGTCTGGGCAACAGAGTGAGACTCCGTCTACAAAAAAAAAAAAGAAAAGAAAAGGCTCTGAGAAGTCCTGCAGAGAACAGTGTTTCCCAAACTCATTTGGTCACAGAGCCCTTGTTGAATCCCTAATAACCTCTGTGGGGCCCCCAGAATGCAGTGGTTTTGGAAACCACGGCCCACTTTTGTCGAGTCTGCTAAATACTTGCATCATCTCATTTAATTCTCACATACTCACCTCCCAAATAGGAATGGCCCAGGGCTGCTGCACAGGGCTGGACTGGGGGACATGTCTACCTTGCTCCTGGTTTGTCCCAGCCTCAGTACAAACCCTGGCCCTGGACTGGAGGAAGGAGACCCCTGCCTGCTCCCCCCTTAATAACCCGAAGGGAGGTCTCCGAGCTGGATGCAGAGAGCACAATGAGCAAGACCCCTCTCTCCCCACCGCCTGCTCCTAGCCCCTCCAGATGTGTTCAGGGGCTCCTTACCCGGCACACAAAGCACTCAGGATGCCACAGCGTGTTGAGGGCCGAGATATAGTTCTCCAGGATGGCCCGGGCGCAGCCGCCACACTTTGGTGCGAACATGTCGAAGTAGTCCTTGCGGCAGTAGGCCTTGCCGTCCTTCTCGTGGAACCCTGGGGAGCGGGGGTTTTGGAGGCACAGTTCATTCCGGCTTCCAGAAGAGGAGCCACTCTGACTGCAACCTCAGCAGCGTCTCCCACCCCTACCTCCCGGCCCTCCTGAGAGGCGGCGAGTCAGTCCGCTGGTCCAGCCCGTACCTTCAGGACCGAAGAAGGCTCCACACTGGGCACAGAAGAAGTGTTCAGGGTGCCACGTCCGGTCAAGGGCTGTCACCACTTTCTGTGAAAGCCAAGTGTGGGATCAATACTGAGCTCCACCCCACTGGGCAGATCTCACAACTGAGATGCCCAGCAAGGCCGCCTTCCACCCGTAGCTCATAGCCACAGACAGAGCGAAACGCTCCCAACATGGGGGTCTCTCCTAACTGTGCAGTGAACGCCTCTAAGAATTCAGAGTTACTGAGGATGGGACAAGCCACACACACACCCTCTCTAATCCTCATCCCAAGCAGAGGGCACAAGTTCTACTGTGACTCCCATTTTATACGTGAAGACACAGGCTCAGAGAGACCAGGCATTTCCGGAGTTCCCGGAGCGGGGGAGTGAGGCCGCTGTCGTCCCGCTCCATGTATGTCCTCAGGCCTCCTGAGTCCTGCGACCTTCTGGGAGTCTCCAGAGACGGGAAGCGAGATGGGAGGTGAAGGGAGGTGGGGCTGCCTGATGCACATCGGGACAGGCTGTGGTTCAGGTGTGGGTGTGAGTCCAGCCTCACTGTCCCCTAGCCCTGTGAGTCTCCCACGGCACCCCATGAACCCTCAGAGGGCTGCAGTGAAGCTGGAATGAGTGGAGAAGGAACTCACATCCAGGATGGGGCCGTTGCAGTAGTAGCAGCGCGGGGAGAAGAGGTTGTGGTAGTCCTTTTCACAGTAGGGCTGTCCATCCCGCTCGAAGAAGTTCCGGGATCCGATCTCCTCCTGGCAGTGGGTGCAGACGAAGTGCTCGGGGTGCCACGTCTTCCCCATGGCGGTCACAACCTGAGGAGGAGATGGAATGTGGTCCAGGGCCGAGGCCAGCCCCAGAGCACCCCCACCCCTACAGAGGAGCCCACAGGGCCGAGGCCAGCCCCGGGGCACCCCCACCCCTGCAGAGGAGCCCACAGGGCCGAGGCCAGCCCCAGAGCACCCCCACCCCTGCAGGAGTCCACTGGACACACCCCTGCCCACTCCCCCTCATCACCTGCCCGGCGATGGGCTTCTTGCAGGCCCCGCAGACTCCTTTGGCGACCGTGGCGACCCCCAGCTTGTTGAGGTCGGACTGCAGGCTCCCCAGCATGCTGTCTAGCTGGCTCCCGGGCTTCAGGGGCCCCCCAGGGGGGGAGCTGCTCCCTGTCTTCCCCTGGGCCATGAACTGTGGAGACAGGGAGGGGCTGGTCAGGACTCCTGAGGCTCAGGGTACGGTGTCTGGCAGCAAAGGGATGGGGGTACTTTTCTCCCTCCTGAACAGATGAGCTGATGGAGACAAGAAGTACAACCTCCTCCAGGGGCCAGGAGCCCTAAAGTGGGAGTGACATCAGCAGGACTCATGGTTGGAGGGGCCCACTGGGGTCAGAAAGGCTCAGGGCACCCAGCAGGCACGGCCAAGCCCAGGGAGAGCACGACACGCAGGACACCCAGCCCAGCCTTGGCACTGACCCCTCCCTCGTCCTGCCCTCCGGGGCTGCTCCGCCCGCTGTCCCGAGGCCAGCCAGCCGCCCAGCACCGCTCCCCTTCCGCTCTTTGCTCCAGGCCCTGGATCTTAGATAGGGGAAGAGATGAGGGTAAGAAATCTTTTTTAAAAATTAAAGAAGAACGAATACGGGACCTTGTCACTGGACTAAAAGGGAATCTAGGATGAGATCTGAGGGTTTCTCCCCCACCGGCAGGACCAAAATTGGGGAAAAAAATCTGGAGAAAAAGAGCCCTGAGAGAGAGGCCCAGGGAGAAAAGAAGGAGGACAGGGAGGGGAGTCAACCAAAGGCAGAGGACATGGCAAGGGGAGGTGGCCAGACTCAGTGAGGAGGCCTCACCGGGCACTGGGCCTGGGGGTTGGAAGGGAGGAGACAGGTTTCTGGTCTCCTTCTGGAGTGGCTTCCTTCCTCGATGTGAGCCCAGGGCAGTACCAAGGACCAGTCGAGGAAGGAGTGGACACAGGCGAACCCACAGGAAAGCAAGAGGGCGGCAGACCTTCCAAGTAGGGGAATACCAGGGTCAAGGTTTAAGGCAGGACTGTGGTTACTGTGCTGGGGCTAGTGGATGGAGGGATGGAGGGTATCTGAGTGTGTATGTGTGTGTCTGCAGAGTGGGGGATGGCTCAGGCATTAGGACAGGGGACAGAAAGGGAGGGGCTCCTTTAAGGCCTGCCTGCATCGGGGGGAAGAGCGGGTCCTCATCGGTCTGGCAGCCCACGGACCTCATGGTGTAGGGTGCAGGAGTGGAAAGGGTGGGGCCCTGCACCCCCTCATCATGGGGCTCTTCCCCTGCACTCTGGACCCCAGAAGAACCACAGGTGTAAGCTGAGGGCCCCAGAGGGGAGGAGGTGGGCAGGCTGGGCAGGGGAGAAGAACTGCTGGCCGCGGCGTCTGTGCGATGCTGGAGCAAAGGGACAGAAGGAGAAGCCAGGACAGAGATGGTTCTTCTCAGGGGAATGGGAGAGCCAGGAGGGAAGACAACCTGGGGAAAAGAAAGGAGGGACAGCGATGAGGAAGAAATCGCCAGCTCAGCCCACAGGGGTGGGGGCACCTCCCCAGGCTTCCCCTGGGCCTTCCCACTCTGCACCAAGAGTGGGGCCAGTCTTCCAAGGTCACAGGAGGCAAGAAACTCCCACCCTCCCCAGATCTCCCCTCCGGCCAGTACTGGGGCCAGAAGAACCTGGACCCCAGGTACTTGGCTCTGGCCCAGCCCCAGCCCTGGGCATCTTCTCGCCACCTTCTCTACAAGCTGCCCCCCGGCCCGCTTCCCACGTGGCTGCACGGTGATGACGATGCCCTCGGTCAGCCAGTCCTGGGCAGAGGGCCCCGCTGCCTCCGCCGGCTCCTCTGCCTCAGGCTGGATGCCTAGCCGCCCCTGCAGCTCCGCGATGAGCTGCTCCTGGGATGGGGTCCTGCTCAGGGTGGCAGGGTCCAGCCGGCGGCGAGGGGAGGGCTCCCGGGACATGGGGTGTGCGTGGCCCGTCTCCCGGCTCCTCCTGATCACAGATCGGATCTAGGGGGAGGGGAGGGGAGGCTGTCACCGTCCTACTCCGAGCTTGCACACGCTGCTCAGGCCACACTCAGATGCCTCAGGAGAGGCAGCACAAAAGAAAACCACCAAAGAGCCAAGCAGAGGTGGGTGGAGGCACGGGGAGGGAGCAGATTGGACTGGCTCCAGGAGCACAGGCTGCCAGCGAGACCTCTGATCCAGCATTCACCTCCAAGTTGGCCACTGACCTTAGGCAAGACACTTAAGTGCCGTGGGCCTCAGCTTCCCCTTCCTTAAAATGGAACCACAGGATTTTCTTAGCTTACCACACAGGGTTTGCGCAAGAATTATTCCAGAGGATGTAAGTGCATGCCCTTGACAAGGCATACGGCTTTTTCTTTCTTTCTTTCTTTTTAATTTATAATAGAAAAAGTCTTTCCTTCCAAGAACTTTTTTTGGGGGGTACGGAGTCTCACTGTGTTGCCCAGGGTGGAGTGCAGTGGCACGATCTGGGCTCACTGCAACCTCCGCCTCCTGGGTTCAAGAGATTCTCCTGCCTTAGCCTCCTGAGTAGCTGGGATTAAAGGCGCGTACCACCACGCCTGGCTAATATTTTCTTTTTTTTTTTTTTTTCCTTTTTTTAATAGAGACGGGGTTTCACCATGTTGGTTAGGATGGTCTCAAACTCCTAACCTCGTGATCCGCCTGCCTTGGCCTCCCAAAGTGCTGGGATTACAGGCGTGAGCCGCCGTGCTCAGCTGGCCAGGAACTTTTTTAACTAGTTTTTTTTCTTATTTATATTATTATGCTAATATTACACTTACATTATGCTATTATACTTGTTGGTAGTGTTTTGAGGGGTTTTGATTGTTTCGTTTTGTTTTCCAAAGAGGCATAAAACTTGGGAGATTTGGGTTATTTTATTTTTGGTTTTTTTTTTTTTGAGACAGTGTCTTGCTCTGTTGCTCAGGCTGAGTGCAGTGGTGCGATCACAACTCACTGCAGCCCCAAACTCCTGGGCTCAAGTGATCCTCCTGTTTTAGCCTTCCCCGCAGCTGGGACTATAGGCATGAGCCACCACACCCAGCTAATTTTTAATTTTTTTTGTAGAAACAGGGTTTCGCTGTGTTGCCTAGGCTTGTCTCAAACTCCTGGGCTCAAGCGATCCTCTTGCCTCAGCCTCCCAAAGTTCTGATATAACAGGCATAAGCCACTGTGCCAGGGTGGGGCATAAAGTTTTTTGTTTTGTTTTTCTTTTTTTTGTTTTTTGAGACCGAGTTTTGCTCTTGTTGCCCAGGCTGGAGTGCAATGGCGCAATCTTGGCTCACCGCAACCTCCGTCATCCGGGTTTAAGCGATTCTCCTGCCTCAGCCTCCCGAGTAGCTGGGATTACAGGCATGCGCCACCATGCCCAGCTAATTTTTTTGTATTTTTAGTAGAGACGGGGTTTTTCCATGTTGGTCAGGCTGGTCTCGAACTCCCGACCTCAGGTGATCCACCTGCCTCGGCTTCCCAAAGTGCTGGGATTACAGGCGTGAACCACCACGCCCGGCCCGACATAGTTTTAATTAAGTAAAAAGCAAGTAATAAAACTACTGTCAGCCATGGCCTATTGAGGGACCACATGCTGTGTTCTAAATACTTTCCAGGAATTATCTCATTTAGGTCTCTGGACAATCTTAATGGAAATGGCCTATTATTCTCCCCACTTTATAGATGAGAAAACTGAGGCTGAGGGAGGGGGTTGCCCAAGGTCACAGAGGTAGCAAGTGTTAGAGATGTGGTTTGGATCTAGGTCTATCTGGTTCCAAAGTCCATGCTTCTAACCATTTCACCACATCAGAATGTCAAGGCTAGCTCATCTGAAAGGAAAAAGCCTTAACAAAGCAAGAGGTGTGTTGATGCTATGAGAAATGCCGGGTCCACAGAGCCCACTGCCAAGTGCTGACTGTCAGGTCCGGCCACAGTGTCTCAAATTTTCTGTCCAAGCAGACACGCGCAGAGCGGGAGGGGCTGCATGCAGTTAGCGAGGAGCAGCCCACACTCAGACCCGCCAAGGGCCATGCCCAGCAGCCATGCGAGCTGGCGCCTGCCTGGCCAGAGGTGGAAATCCTCTCCGTGGTGCTGGGTGTGCTTGTGGCCATGGCACATGGAAGCTCTGGCTGTTCCTTCCCGGCCTGGGTGGCAGCTTCGGTGGTGCCCTCTGGGCTCCCTGGGGTTTCAGGTCCCTGGGTTGGCCTGGCCACACTTCCCCTCTCAGTCATCTTTGCACCTAGCTGCTCCATGGTAACTGAGGCAGGGGAGCTGCTTCCCAGCCTCCCTGGCTCTGGCCTTGGCCTCTCCTGCTGTAGGCCACGTTCCTCCGTGAGAGTCCAGGTATCTGGGAAGACAGCCTGCCGGTCCACTGCCACTATAGCTGGCTCTATTACTTCTTGGAAGCTTCGAGCAGCTCCAGAAGGGGGCATTCTCTCAGGCCTGAATACCTCTGAAGCCCATGGCTGCTCCCTTGTGGCAGCCAAGGCCTCCTCTGGGCACGAAGGGCTGGCTGGTGGCCCCTGGGGCTCCCCAGGCTCTTGGGGACCTATGCTCCCAGCATAGGGTACAGTGTGGCCGTGGGGAGCCCCAGAGAGCTCACGTGTGAGGGTCGGCAGGTGCCTCCAATCTCCACCCTGGCTCTCTGTGCCCACTGCCCACAAAGAAGCCTCCACAGAGGGAGACCTTGAGTTGAGGATATCAGGCATCACCCCAAGACCAGCCAAATCAAGCCAGCTAGGGGCCACAGGAGGTAGAAGGTCTCGTCCACTCTGCTCAGTACAAGGGAACTCCGGAGTGTGGCCCTGGCCTCGAGGGGAGGGTTTAGTGGTGGGTGGCAGGAATACAGATGGTATGGGAGGAGGAGAAGGAGGAAGGGAGCAGTATGAGGATGGAGCAGAGCCGGGCAGCAGCCCCGGGGCACTCAGAGCCACAGTGGAGGAGCTGGTCTGGAGGAGGAGAGAGAAAGGCAGAGGGGAGGAGAGAGAGAGATGAGGGGAGTGAGGATGGCTGCGTCCTGCAGGCGGTGGGCTCGGCCTTAGGGCTAACCAAGGTGGCTGCAAAGCTGACGCACAGGACTGACCCTTGAAGGAGACCCAGATCCCAAAAAGGCTTCCCTGGGTTTCACATGCTTAGCCCTTATCAAATCCAAGCAAGAGAAAGCAGCCACCGAGTCATGCCTGTGCAGCCACCCCGGGAGGGTATGAGAAAGAAAAGACCATGGTGAGGTGGACAAATGGGGAGCCAGGTGGCTAGGGAAGACAGCCCCAGGCACAATTGGAGGGAGAGCCAGCCCCGGGGGGCTGCTAAGCCCACCTCGGACACTGGCCCACCTCAGCCATGTCCCTCCGGACAATCCCAGCTTTCCTCCACCCCGAGTCCTCTACGTCTTCCAAGTCCTTGCTCCAGGGATCTGACTAAAACCACTGCTGCTTCTGGCATCAGGACACAGGCTGTCTGAGAAAACGGCAGTCTTACAAGCACCGGGGCACAGCTCCCGAAGGCCAGGCCCTGAATCCAACTTACTTGCTTCTGACTATGGTGGCTCAGAACCACTGGCCTGGAGCTAGAACTACAGCATGCAAGGGTCACAGGGCCAGGCTCAACCCTCCACCCCAGCCACACTCCCATCTCCCACCATGAAACCTCAACTGGAGGGAGGCTAGGAGGCACCATCAAGACCAAGGGTGCAGGGACCGCTCACTCCCCTCTCATATTCCCTAGATCGTGCCCCAAAGGTCTCCAGCTGACCCACGTGGAAGTGTGAAGTCAGCAACTGCTGGTGAGTTCTGTCAATATTAATCCCCATGGAAACACTGTATCCTCTAAATTAAACATCCCAGGCCTGGTAGGACTGGGGAGACCCAGCAAGGGAGGGGGAGGGCAGGTACCTCGTGCAAGGCTGGCCCCGCGGTTTCCCACAGACATGCTGGTGGGAACTGAGAGGCCCTGGAGGGCGAGAGGGAAGGATGGGAGAAGGGTAGTGAGGGAGGCTTGTGGATTCAGGAGCAGAGGCAGAAAGAAAGAGGATGTGTTGAGGACAGCTAGCGTGGGAGATGGGGCTCCAGGGCAAATGACCTCCCAGGCACAGGCTCCCAAGTCCCACATGGCCCAGCACAGAATGCCCTCCCCTACCAAGAGCAGCCATCAACACAAGGTTCTTTGTCCCAGCGTCCCAGCCTCCTGATCCCCTTGACCTGAGTGGCTGGGAGCACCCGGGGAGGAAGGAATGTCCCAGCTGAGCACTTCTCCAGCTTGTCTGCCTTCACTGGCTACTGCAATCCTCAGGCAGGCTCACCCGGCCCTCCCTCCCCTATCTCTTGGCATCACAGCAAGGCCAGGGCATGACACGGTCCCTGGCTCAGGGGCAAGGCACCCAAACACTGAGGTACCAAGGTCTAGCTACCCACACTGAGGTAGGGGAGGAGAAGGATGAGGGAGGGGCAGCAGGGCAGGGAAGACAGAGGGTTCACAGGGCACCTTGAAATCCGACAGCGAAGCCATCAGCTCGTCCAGCTCCCTGGTGGCAGAGGAGGCTGAGATGCGCGTCTGCTGCTGGGTGGAGGTGACGCGCTGCGGGCTGCTCATCTCGCCCTGGTTCACAGTGATGGCAGGGCTGCAGGGTGGGCATGGCATCAGTGGGGAGCCCAAAGTCAGCCCCACACTTGCCAGGGATCAAATTGATCCCTCAGCTCGGACATGGGGTCTCACCATCCCCACGCCCAGGGAGGCCCACCAGCTCCCAGTCTCTCCTGGGGACCCATCATTGGGTCAGAAGAAAGGGCAGCTCAGTGGCACCAGGAAGTGCCAGGAAGACTCCTCTAGCCCCTAGCCCAAGTGAAAGGTGGCCTGTGAAACAAGCCCAAGCGCCCTATGTTTCCTCCACAACACCGGACGTGGAGGTGAGGCTACTGCAGTAACACAACGGTGCTGGTAAGAACTCGCGTGTTGGGCACTCACCATGCGTGCCACGCACTGCACACCAGAAACCATACTAAGTGCTTTACATGGATTACTGGTTCTCACCCTTACTGAGGTAGGTGGTCTTATTCCAGTGATCCCATAAGCTCTTGTCCCATTTTACAGATGGGAAAACTAAGGCTTGAGAGCTGACAGTAATTGTCAGAGCCAAGAAGTGAAACCCTACTGTGTGGCCCCAAAGCCTATGCTAAGAGCTGCTAAGCTCCAGGCACCCTCGGCGTGCACAATATCTGTCCTTTCTGACTGGTAGTGACTGACTGAAGGCAGGGATGGTGTCCATGAGACTCTCCACTATCCCCCCAGTGCCTGGCAAACGGCAGACACTGGAGGGAATGGGTGATACCAGGACTAAGGGGACAGACACTGGACCCAGGGCAGGCTGAACCAGCCCTTCCCCACCTGGGGAGAGCCCAGTGGGTACTCACACGGGGCTGGGCACGGAGCTCTCCAGTTCATCCAAGAGACTCTCCACGCTGGGCCGCACGTCCTCCAGGCCCCGGCCCCCATTCCGCTTAGGCTTCTCTTTCGTCAGGGGCCCAGCTTTGCCTCCCAGGGGGCTGTTAGTCTCTGGGACACCATAGTGGGGGCTCAGGGCCCCAGGAAGCGGGGGGCTTGAGTTGGCCTCATCTTGCAGAGAGGAGAGAAAAAGGCTGCTCAGCCCTTGAGCCCTCCTGGGATGTAGAGGTCAGCAGGTGGGCCCTGGGCCCTGGGCCCTGGTAGACCCTGCCCCAGGGACCCGGTCCTACCTGCAGGGAAGCCTGGTGGGTTATGCTGCACAGCATTCAGTTCCAGCAGCAGGCGGTCGAGTTCAGAAAGGTTGCTGCCCAGGGACGTGCTCATTACGGTGGGTGAAGGCTCAGCTGATTTCTGCTTGTTGGGGAAGCTTTGAGAGGCAAAGGAAAGAAGACAGTGAGAGATGCTCTCTGGCTTTGTACTGGCTTGGCAGTTCCCAAATTCCCAAGGAGAATAAGGCAGAGGAGATGTGAAGTCTTCCCCCACAAGACGACAGAGGGTAGGGAAGGGACTAGTAAGAAGAGGGGAGGAAGGAAGTCTTGCTTCAGTTCCTCAGCTACACACAGATGCTGTGACAGCCCAGAAAGTCCACAGCATGGAGATGGCACTGATGAGGCAGATGGGCCCATCGAGAGGCCTTCTGCAGCTTAAACCAGAAGAACCCCACACAGCCCAGTCGCCACGCCTGCTCCTGGGCCTCCGCTGCCTCCCACCCTGGCCAGGTTCCTGAGATTTCTAAGCAGGAGGAAAGGTGCCCTGGGCAGACTGGGGCAGTACCTGTAGACGTGCTCCTCCTCACCCACTCGGGAGCATGGAGAGCCAACGCTGTCCTGAGGGTTGGAGGCACTGGAAGTTTTGGCACTGGAGCCGTACACAGGTGATGAGGACTGAGGCTGTGAGAAGGAGAACACTCAGAGGCTACCCCAAGGGGAGAAAAAGGAACAGGGGCCAGGAGCAGCTCGAGTCACTCCCAGGAGGCCCCTGCCCACAGCCAGCCTCACCAGGGAATTTCCACAGTCAGGCCAGGAGACCTGTGATTAACCACTTGGTCACTGCCCCACTCACGTGGTGAATAGAAAGAGCAGTGTCTGGTTGAGAAGGGTCGACTGCCCCAATTCCATTCCATCCCCTGGTTCCCTAAGCCCCTGCCAGGTAAGTTCCCTCTGTCCCCCAGCCTCCTCCACCTTCCCAGTCCCTGTCCCCGCCTCACCTGCTGGTGGATGAATCGGGAGCCACTGGGCTGCCACTGGTCTAAAGGGTCAAGGATTGTGCCATTGAGGGCCTCGCTGGACGGGGGTGGGGGGACGGGGGGTGGCACGGCGATCTCCTGGTATGTGTGGTTTCCAGTTGGGTATGAGTAGGGGGTCTCCTCCGACAAGAACACAGGCCGTTTGGAGATGTGGGAGGTGGTGGACTCCAAGTCCGCCAGCAGGGCGTCTGCAAAGAGAAGGCACGGGGAGCAGGTGAGAACCGGGATCCTGGGGACTCTCCCATGGCAGGGCCCTCCCTGCCTGCACCTCAAGAGTTAATGCCTTCTAGCACCTGCCCCACCCATGGGAGAAATGACCAGCCTCGGGACAGGAAGCGAACCAGCCTAACCAAGAGCCGGCTCCCAAAGCTGACTTCTTCTGGCCACCCAGGACTGAAGGTACTCTATAGGTGGGCTCTGGGGCTGCCCCGTGGGATCTCCTACCTCTGGGAGTCAGGCACCTGGTGCTGCGTTCCCTCCTGACAGGGCCACGCAGCCGCGAGTGAGCAGTGCCTGCCTGGAACTCTGAATCTGCAGGGCAACGCGGAGAGAATGGGCGGGAGGGGCCCCACGTCACAGGGAGGGGCCCTGGCGGTGCCAGGCCCTCATTTGATTTCTAAGAGCTTAGGCTTTCTCAGCCCCCGACTGGAAGGGGCACACAGAATAGTCCCTGCCCTCCTGACCAGGTGGAAGCAGAAGCCCAGGCTCCAGGTTCCTCCTGAGGCTCCAGGCTTATGGGGTAAGGTGTGTGGGGAGGTGGGGGCTGGAGTGAGGCTGGTGCAGCGGTCCCCACCCGCTCAGTGAGCAGGGGGCAGGACTGCTCCGTTGGCTGTTTCTGCAGAAGTCTGGCAAGCAGCCCGACCCCAGAGGCTCCAGGCCCCCACTGTTCTGCTTTTAACAGCAGCAAAGGAGCCAAATCAGCCCTCCAGTGTAAGCTTCCATTACCCTGGCACCTGGCAGCCAACAGGGGGCACTAGGTCTCCCCAGTCTCCAGAAAAGAAGGATATAGATAGAGGGGCAGGGGTAGGACCTGCTGACCCCCACCTCCTCTATCCCCTCCTGGGACCCTCAACAGCCCCACAGCTCAGACAGCCTGGCCCTGGATGCCACAGCCTCATTCCTGCCCCGTTCACAACTTGCTCACTCTCAGCTCCCTGGTAACCTGCTGGGTCACTTATTAGTTTATTGCCACTTATTAGTACCAGGCACACTGCTAGGCATTCTAGTGGCATGTACAAGGTCTCCGTTAATCCCCCTAATACCCCCTGTAGTTGGAATTCTGATTCTCCCCACAGGGATGAATAAAGCTGGCTTGGAGAGGCAGAGGTCAGACGTGTTTGCTCCAAATAACAAAGCCAGTGAGTGGCACAATTGTTTGACTCCTCAGAAGCCCCAAACCCCAAAAACCTGGCCTGTAAGAGGCCACTATGACTACCAGATGACGCCACACTTAAAGGGTTCAACTTCCTGAACGCTGGAAGTCCAAGCTGTGAGGCCTGCCAGTGTGATCCTTCCTTGTGGCCTTGCTCCCAGTCCCCCAACCTGTGTTCAGAGGAGGGAAGAGAGAAGCAAGGCCCTCACCCAGGGCCTTGGTTTATGGGGCCACACCTTCTCCCAGCTGCCTGTCCTGATCTCCTACCCTCAAGGCTGGCCACACCTACCCCTGGTGTGTACAACAGAGGGGATGTCTGTTCCAAGGCCTAAGACCCCGGGTCTTGTCTCCTGACCTCCAAGGAAGGTCAGGTCCTACAGCCTGCCCCGCCCCTCCAGGTCCCATGGAGGAGGCCTGGCTTCCTGTCTCTAGCAAACCGGAACTAGAAGGAGTTGGCAGGTATCTAGGTAACAGCAGAAAAGGAACCAGTGTCCAGCCAATCCCCACAGCCTCTCCAGCGCCACACCTGCTGTCTTGGCTGCACGCAGTGTCCTCATTTCCTCTGGGCCCAATCAGCAATGGGCGGGTCCCTCTTTCTCCACCACGGGCAGGGCCAGCTAAGAAACCCCATAGGACTCCCCAGAGCAGGCAATGAGTGCAACCCCGGTAGGGGCAGGAGCAGCTGCCATCTTTGAAGGCCCACTGGGGCCAGGAACTTCACCTTTGTTACCTGCCATCCTCCTCACAACGCCACTAGCACAGATGGCATAACTGCGGTTCAGAGGCAGAGTCACATCCCACACTGCCACGGCTGGCTGAAGTGAGAATGCTGGACTCTGAACTCAGGTCTCTTGGACTCCAAACACCCAACAGAAGACAAATGGTCAGGCTTCCTTGTCAAACATTTTGAATCAGGGACTCCACCAAACGCCCGCTCCACCACAATGTGATTCTAAGCCTGGGCTTTTGGTTTATGGATTGGATTCTGGTTTACGATGTCAACAGGCTCTTGGGAGCACAGATCCCTAGGTTGGTGGAGTATTGGTGAGAGGATGCAGTCCTGGGGCACAGAGACAAAAGATCACTCATTCTGAGGTCGAGCCACACCTGAGTTCAAGCGCCAGCTCCCCTCTCTACTATCCATGCCACATGGCAAATCGCTTAGCTTCTCAGGGCCTGTTTTCTCAGTAAGCTCTTGAATAACTCTGACCTCAAAGCACTGGTGTGAGGTTTATAAGGGCCAGCAGGTACACTGGAAGCTGCAGACATCAG